TATGCCACCGGACACGACACCCCTCGGGCAATTGTAACACACCAATAACAGAAGACTTGAACCTGCTCCACAGTCCTACTTAACACTTTGACTGCGACGTGCGCCATATGTGGTGCACGCAATATGGCAAACTACGGGCTACTTTTGGAAGTCGCAGCCACCACTGTCTCAATCTCTCTCAGGCCTGGCTGGACGCAGTCAATACTAGCCTTGGCTTCGCCAGTGGCCACTGCCGTCTGGGACAGCAATAGAGAGTTTTGCACACAATAAATCACTCCTTCAGGTGAATTTTGCCTTTTAACTTCCATCCTGGGATTTGGCCTGATGATTGTAGTGATCCGAGTACACCCACTACTAAGACCGCTACAGACCAACGGTTATACGGAAATACAGTAGTGTTTACCACACTGTGACGTCTGTTTCCCGTATGTACGCTTTTATGCCCAGTCTGGTCTGTTTCAACAGAAACCGACCCAAGGACATGCCTTCGTTTTCGTTTCGAAAGTATTACTTAAGTAAGGTTGTAATATTAATTATTATATAACATGCACCCAAGATACTTCAGTCGCGTCACGATGTCGGCTTTTTAATTAGCTTCTTTCCAGGCGCTTGCAAAAGCTACGCTGTAAAAACGGCTCCTGAAGTAGTGCAGATTTTTCCATTGGTTTTCTATGGCTTTATAGATTTCAAATATTTTACAGAAAACATTCGCGAATATATCTTTTCCTGACGCCTACTTGAGATTGTAAATTCGAAAAAGGACATCTTTAGGTTTAAAAAACTTATTGTATTGCCAAATATTTTTTTTAAGGAAGCACGCCGATCACCGGAATTATGGTTTTACTCGTCTGAGCTTTCGAACTCTTACTAGAGTCCACCGTCAGGAGTAAAAAAGGCAACGAAGAACAAGTAACAGTTACAGAAGGCAGAGGCCAATCAACTACCAGTCCGAAGGTGACTGCGCAGGACTCTGTATGCCGGCGCCAAATCGATAAATCGATTGACTGGCGAAGACAATCGTCCACGCCGCGAGCAAGAGCAGCCGCGAATTGATTGAAGCCTGCGCCTCAGATGAGAACTCAGTCAATCGATTTATCGATCTGGCGCCGACATACAGAGCCCTGCGCAGTCACCTCCGGACTGACGGTCGATTGACCCCTGCCCCCTATAACTTTTGCCTGTTTTTTTTTTGTTTTCGCTTTTATCTCTGACGCTGGACTCCAGCAAGATTTCGAAAACTCATCAGACGAATAAAACCATGGTGACAGTCTCGTTTCGGGCTCATTAAGCTTATTTCGCACAACTGCATACTTATTTCGTAGTGGTAAGCATGCTTTCTCACCGCAACGGTACGACACAGTCCACCCACTTTGCACTCCGCACACAGTTTTTTATCGTCCTGTGCCACTTTTAGTTCTAATTTAGTTCAGTTAGCTTAGTTTACTTCTTCTTCTTCTTCTTCACCTATACATACACCTGGAATGCGAACATTCTCCTCAATTGGTGAAGTTATTTTGAGCCAGATCGCCTGCTACATTTGCATTCAGGGTTTCCAAAATACATGCTGCATAAATTCTGTCTATGGAAAAGCCCATGTTTCTCCATGCTATTAAAAAAACGTCACATAGTGCTAAGATGTTGCAATAGCTAGGGACCATGTTGGTAAGCTATGGGGCGCAACGGAAATTTCATAGTCAGTAGTCTCATAATTAGCAACTCTTAAGCCCGAGCGATACTATTTCGTAAAGTATAAAATTTGAAGATGACGTAATTTTCTACCAAATAAATACAAAATATAATATTTTTGGGCATGTTTTCTGTAACGTATATTTGAATTTATGAAAGAATCGAAAATCATCTGGGAAAAGTCGTTCTACTTTTGGCGCGACTGATATAACTTGGGATTACGCGGCACCTTGTAAACTGCATAAGTAAAACCATGTCAACCGACTGTTTTATCGGCTGCCGCTCAAGTATGGTTACCATTAAACATCTGGACCACCTGAACACCCGTAAATGGTCAGTGTCTGAACATTAACATTTTTAGGAAGACGACGATATCAAGTACTGCGACCAACTCCGGATAAGTATTGTGATTCGGCTAACTCGTAAAACCTTCCTATGAGACTCTTTCGTGAATTAGTTTTTTTCCTAAGGACTGAAAAGGGGAGATTGCAGTGCATAATCTCAGTTCAGTCAATACCTGTTGCTCTCCTTTTTAGGTCTAAATTCACATCACTTGCACATGATGAGTCGCTGGGTGTTTTCTCAGACAACCTACGACGTCTCCTGATGAGCGCTCCTCTTCGCTGTTCCCCACTACCATCTGCTGGCGCAACCGCAACCACCACCGCCACCACCACCGCCAAAGTATTCTCCCCCACCCGCACCAATGATACCTCAACACCCGATGTGATCTCCGCTGCGTTGGGATCCCCGGGTGACCGGCTCCCTGTTGTGGGGTTGGATCCTGGCTGGAGGCATGGCTGTAAGTGGGCCGCCTGTGATCCCCTGGGCACTGTACTGCAGGCCGGAGTTCTACATATCACCACCGCGTCAGGTTCTTGTTCCGATTCAGAAACGCAGCTTTTTGCTAGAACGATGAAGTCCCATGGGTATGACGTGTTTTAACTGTTTTGTCCCTCCCACCCTAACGTGTCCCAGTTGTCTTTTTTCAGCACATAACGCTTCAACCTTGTCTGATAGCAGCCTGCTTTAGTAATAGTGTAAATCTGCCTTAGGTGTAAGTACCCGAATTTTAACTAATACAAAGCGTGCCTAGTTGTAATTCTGGTGGGTTCTAGATGATTGCTTGGGAACTTCTGCCTGGGCAGTCAGCTTACCGTATCCGTACTGGTGGATTCCATAGGTGCAGTAGGCTGGGCGGGTAAATTTACCCAAGCGTCGTTAAATTCACGGCTCTTGGCGTGCCTTCATAGCTCAATTGGTAGTGTTGGCTCTACTAAAGCCTTCCCTACTGATGTGGGTTAGAATTGCACCGAAGCTACGAATTTTTCGCAATTGGGTCAATCGAGTTATTCAAGTCTACCAAACCTTCCTGATAACAACCTATCTTTCTTATTAACGTAGTACTTGGGGAGTTACGGGAGCCCAAGTTGTAAAAATAGACCTCTCCGAGTAATACCCACGTGTACTCTGCTCATTTTTCCCAAAATGTGTCATTAGGTGACGGGAAAATGTGTGGGCAGTGGCCACAAGGCCGATCACTCTTGTCACTTTATAAGCTTCTTAGCCTTCTACAAAAACTCTTATGGTAATGGCTTTGTTGCTCGCCTTCGGAAGGCGGAAGTGATTTTTTGATCATTTTTGATG